ACAATCTATTATTCGTAATTAAACATATGCCTAAGCTAGAGCATAGTTTATACTTTCAAATGACATCTGACTGCCTTCTTTAAAATGTATGATTGAATTGGTACAATGCAATTAAGTTGATGGAGCGCTTAATTATAGAACAACAGCAGCAAGAAAACATCATGGAAACTACTTATAAGAAGCAAAAGCATTAGATCAACTTTATACAGCACCTCTAAACAAGGTGCAACCGGGTTTCATTTCCAACTATAAATTGTGTTCTACGAAAAAAAAACAACTAATAAAACATAAAATGTGTTTTAAACTTTTGATCACTGAAGAAGATCTATCGAAATCACTATTTCAATATAATTATCGGATGATCTTTCACAGAGAAAATTGAAGAACAAAAGGTGCCTTAATTGTTTCATTGTGACTTTATTCAAGTCATATATAGGATGTAATCAGTGTTTTATTTTCATGAAAGCATTTTTTTACGCATCTCACTCAAATTTTTCCATTGATTGACCACCAAACGTGTGTCCTATGATTATAAAGGCTGCTTAAAACTTATAAGTTGTGAACCATCTTTTTTACATTAGGATCCTGGCTGATATTCTAGAAGAATTATTGAAATGCTCATTTTCTAAATCTACACATGATTCATGTTGAACTTTCTATGTTGACATTGCAATTGATCCATATCCACGGAGTATATTTAAATCAAAAGAAAATGACTACATTTATCTTCATTTTTTAAAGTTTCTGATTCAGTTACATAAATTATGATTCGCTTTCTCCTCAGCATGAATTATTGTTAATCCCAAACGAAAAGGTAATCATTTGTGTTCAAGAATTCCACAGAAGTATAATTTTAGATAAAAGATGAAAAGAAAATCTTCAAAAACATCAATCTATGTAAAAGGCAACAGAACGTATTATTGATAAACGACAATTATCTTTGGATGACAAACATTTCTAATATATATAATCAAGCGTATTCTATTTGTGAGACAGTATAACCGATCGTTTATGCTATCTAAAATAGATAAAATTTTTATTATCTGTTCTTGGGTAGTACTAGGCCGATCAATAAACTGGTTTTTGGACAAATATTCAAACATAAATGTTAGTAAACATAATAAATAAAGCAAAAATAACATGCGGCGTGAATAGTGTAGGCGTATTGGTCTTTGCCTCCTCTTTACCAATATTCATACCTACACCCACATCCTGGCATCAGTAGTAATCATATTGAAAACTGTCTTACAATTGAAAAAATAGTCAGTTAAATAAAACAGCAGTTTTTCAGGAAAACTAATTTGTTTTGTATCAAGGCAAGACTTTTCAGAAACGCAATTCAGATGCTTTTATTCAGTTTCATGCAATGGAAGTCATTTTGCTTATAGAGTTTGTCAGAGTTCCTCATGTTTGATATTATCTCTTGCTATGGCAATAACTCATTCGAAGTATAATGCACCTCAAAAGTCCTGCATCACTTTTTTTTTCGACGCGTCCGGTTAAATTACACAAAATTAATTTGATTTGACTAGATACCTCATTCACATTGACATCTGCCGGATTTTGTTACTATCAATGATGCATTATTAAGAGTTTCAGAAATTCGGAAGATTATTTTTGTCAGTTTATTAGAACATGGTTCCTTTTGGAGTGCAGTGAATGGTGATCATTTTATTGTCTGAATGCTATAAATGACGCCATCTATTTGCATAGCAACCATCGGAAAAAGAAACGAAATCTTTGCTTTCAATACATCTTCATTACTTGAAGCATGAATATATTCTGCCACATGCATCTTGTCTATTATATGGAGAACAGGTTGTCAGCAATAAGCATAATATCATGCAACGAACATTAAATAATAATATTTCATTTTTCTCAAGGTCATCCATCATGATATGGGAAGTGATACCCAAGCATCTTCGACCAATTTTTTCGTTCTTACAGAACGAAAGAGAATGTATCTGTATTAAAAAAAAATTAGACATATCGATTGATCTACACCTGAATGTGTACGAGCAATAATGAGGAGTATATTGGAAAAAGTGTACATCATATAAGTGACGAGAACAGTTTCTGTTAGTTAAGGTAAACAAATCAAATGACAGTAGCAGACAAGGATTCACAAAAAGAAATGTCTTATATATCAAAACAACTTCAAACATACTTCTTGAAAATAATTCTATTCTATGTGCACGAAACTACAGAATAGTATATCGCATAATAAGTATCTTATTTCTTCAGAAAATAAAAACAAGCAACACGATATTTGATCGATTAAACACATTACTATAATTTTCAAGGTTTTCATTGGATGGTACACAATGACTTGTTTTTTATATTTATGGAAAGAACTTGACAACGATGATTAAACTTATAGTCTCGTTCTTTTTTTCCAATTTTCAATTAACATATAAAAATATATTTGGCATAGAGTCTTCTTAATTTAGTTTGTTGAAGGTTAAAAATACTTTTATCACTTTATTTGAGATTAATAAATATAATCTGTCTAGTTTCTTTACAATTAAAAGGGTGTACAGAAACAACAACACAAATAAGAAAGATTAAAATAATGCAAAATATTTCATATAAAAAAACATAAGAACTCAATTATAACAAACACTGACAAGCTCGAAATAAAAAAGAAACAAAAAGATAAATAATGAATTCTCGTTTTTCTCAAAAAAAATGCAACTATTTATCAATAGTCCAGAGTCACGTTCATACGCACAGGAGAGAAGAAAAATAGAAACAGAAAGGAGGAGGATAATGAATTCGGTTCTCCTACTTCACTCAACACTAGTACAACAAAGAAGATGATATCACGCATCTTCTTTCTAAATACGTTGAAATATATTCAGAACAGAAGAAAAGACTGAGAATTTCAATAAGTTCTCACGGACGGAACAACCAGGAGAAAAAAAGATTGACTTAGATTTGTACCGGAGTAGATATGCGTACTAGAAATAAAAGACATACATATGCATACAAGCACGAAAAAGATGAAGAAGAAGAAAAATAAATAAATAAATATGGACGTTTTGTTAGAGTGCTCTCTAATAATATTGATCGCATATATATCAAATTCTAGATCGTAAAATTGGTAGTTGTCAATATGTATGGATATGTTAGTTGAGTGGTTGTGTACAAATAATCAGTGGTTTGCGTTGAGCCATAATAAGTGTTGTGGTACCCGTATGAAATAGTTGAATTTCTCAACTTGTTGTCCTGATGACGATGATATATTCCTCGAACTATCGCACCAGCTCCACGTAAAATAAGTCCAGCTGCTTCTGGAGCCATTCCCATAGCTATCGCAAAAGGATCCATTATGTATGAATGGACGAACAATTCAATCACCTATACGTAAAGAGTATATCTTTGTTTGAATGAAAATGAATGACAGTCCACATGAGAGAAATTTCTATTTATTCACACCGATCTTTGAAATTTCCAATACCAATGTTCCCAACGGAACTGATATGATCATTGGAATATGTGTGTCTATTTTGTGTCATAGCGAAAAACATGATTTTTTTCGTCCATCAAATGTTTTCGTCACATTATGACGTTAATATATACTTTTCACTTCTTCCTTTTTTAAATGACGTTATGTTTTCTTCGCGGTATGAGATCAGGATGAGTGGAAGGAAAAAACTCATCGAGAAACAAGCATATCTAATTTGCAATGAAATACATTGCCTTCACGTTATATCAAAACAAAATATAATATATGGTCGGATAACATTTTGATATATCTTTGACTTATCTGATTCAAATGTTTGTTTTGATTGACTACCAGCTATTAATGTTAAGGATAAAGACTGCTTAAAACGTGCACGTTTTGAACCATCCTTATATATTAAGATCTTGGTTGATATTATTTTAGAATGATTATTCTCTAAATCTACAGATAATTCATGTGGAGATTTCTGTGTTGACATTGTGATCGATCCATATCCACGGAGTATTGTTAAACCAAAAGAAAATGGTTACATATATCTTCATTTTCCTGAGGTTCTCATTGAATTACATCAATCATGCCTCAGAAATACTGCAAACCCACCTTTTCCGGGCTTTACCAAAATTTTTTGCTCAAAATCTTTATAATGATTTTGTAGAGAACAAAATTTTTTACCAACTGCACTATATTAAAGTTGCGTCTCAATTAGTAATCATATTGAAAACCAGCTTACCAGTGAAAAAAGTCAATTTCCTATAAGCGCAGTTTTTCAGAAACCTATTCGAGATGTTTTTGTTCAGTTTAATGTGCTTTTTCAAATGGGATGTAGCTCAAAAAAAACGGATAAAAACAAACGAAGATATAAGTGGAAGAATAGAGATCACTTTTCTTTTGGTGCTTTTCAGAGTTTCTCACGTTTCAGCACTGATAATTCCATCAAATAAAATCGTAGGAGTCTAAAAATTTTTCATTACTCTAGTTCAATGTTAGGAACTGACTCAATTACATGGGAATAGTGCTTGTGGAAAATGGTCATCGACTAGTTCATTAGATGGCTTGAAAAAAAAAACAACTTTTATTTCTATTTTTAGAAAATTGACATTAAGATCACATAAATTTTCTGACCTTTTCTTTTGCTTTCTTCAAATAGTTTTAGTAATTGTGATGCGAACAAATCAAGACATAATCTAATTATTACTTTTCAAGAATCATCAACTCAAACATTTCGCTGTTCGATGATCTATCTGGAAATAACTTCGTCAAGACTAGCTTCTAAAGCCTTTTTGTTTTGTTGCTCGGGAGTTACAACTTTCAATGTATAGACTATGATCAATCAGACAAAGTCTTTATGAGTGTGAATAAGGTCGTTAATAAAGAGACGACTTCTACTCCAGCTAAAACTTCTTTTTCATTATGTTCATTATCAACGCTCGTCAACTTTTGGAAAACGTTATTAAAACACCATTGTGATCCGTTACATTTTTCAACTCACCTCCTCTCCATATATAATCAATTCGGGTTCCATAAGCACTTGTGACTACTTGTTCATTTCACGCCAACAGTCCCGATATACATTTTCTTTCATTTCATTTATCACTAAATTGTAAGGAGTTTCCCAGGAATTTTGATCACGTATTTTTCGAATATTTGTGTCAAAATACTCGTCAGAGTAATCGTCAAATGTTAACGAATTGAAATCACCCACAACTAATTGAAAACCATCGGAATCTTGTACATGCTTCTCAAATTCATTTATTTGTGTCAAACGAAACTGTTCCTTCATATGATCAAGATGGATGACGTAAATAGTAGCATCATTGCCTTTTGAGAACTGGTCTTCACACTGTATTGCCAACATTTGATACTGTGAGAGAAGTGCATTGCCGAATGCATCTCTAGCGGCAGCACCAAAGGTAACATAACGTAACTGCAGTAGTTTGGAGAGAAGGTTCAAATCAGAGTGAGTATTAAATGTTGTATCGGACGATTCTGTAATATGAAGAGCTTCTTGAAGAGCAAGAACATCGAGTGACAAAGGTGTCAACAGCTGAGCAAGACCATGGAAGTTTGACTGTCACGCAAAATCACAAAAGGAATGAAAATCAAGCGTAGCTAAACGAAATCGAGATGCAAACATCATCCTGATGTACTAATAGAAGATTGAGTCACGCACATTCGAATAATTCGACGAAGACATCAACTAATCATTTTTTGCAGGAACAATTTTCTTGTTTGGTGTTGTTCAAAAATATGAAGTCTGTTCAAAATGAATTATCTAAAGATTATACTCATGGATGAAACCTAATTTTCGAAAGAAAGCATGGATTGTTCTCACAAGATGGTTATGCAACATGTGAAATCCAAGAATAGTCGAGACATATACAATGGATATGATTATTATGATCGAGAAATATAGTTCTAAATTATCACTACAACTCATAGGTTCTTCTTTTAAAATTATCTTCAGTATGGTAACATTTTTCGTTGTAATTATTTTTTTCATTACCATGTGATTTTCTTACAATTTGGCAAGATTCTTTTTGCCAGATGTCAACTTGCTGCTACTTGCATTTTTCAGTCAGCTGCCGTGATGATACTCATCTTGAACATGAATAATCTTGCTAATAATATCGTACAACAGAACAGTTTCAAACACCATATATCGAATACTGATTCCGTTTTTTCTTCAATTAATGCGCTGACGACTTCAATATTTCTACGGATAACTTCAGTTAGTGACCGGCGGTTTCTTGGATCATCTTCTTATGATATTCTTCTCTGTCTAAAAAATACCATATGAATTTGCTTTAATGTATAGCTGAGTTTTCATCTTTTTAAGATGTAGTACCGCATGCGCGTTTTATCCATCTAAAAATATAGCATTTAGACAAAAATCAGTTTTAATTATACTAGAAGCAAACAATAATTGTTCAATTTCGTCAATCAATTGACAAGTACTGACACTATCCAAGCATTAAAAAGAAAGTACTGCATTGCGTCAAGCAGCAATAATCGAAGACAGTTCCAAGAACTTTTCGATCACTCTATGCACTCTGACTAGTTCTGGGATGCGAGTGTGTCCTTCACTTCAATCGTACTTTGATACTCACACCCATATGTGAAGTTGAATACTGCGAAATATTCATTTTCGTCATTGATTGAAATTCATAATGCATATCGAAGTATAATCGAAAACTCAAGAATCAATAAGTTTGTTTTATTTTGAAACAAATGACAATAGTGAAATAAGGTGCATCTAGAAAGTAAATAATCGTGTGGAAAAGTGAACGAGAAAAGAAGAAAAAGATCATAGAGCAAATTGTGAGAGTTGCATACTCTCTTGTGGTACAACTTGATTGGCCAACACTTCTCGTTTCTTTGCTGCTTGTTTGAGATGATGTCTGAAGAGTACATAAACCAATTGATGACGAAATCGTTCGGATACGCACAAGTAAATGTAGAATGGACTCTGAAAATATGTTTTTACAGAAATTTATCAATCTACTTCAAAAGAGTCATACTCACTGCGAAACAGACATAAGTTGAGAAGACAGAAAATAATCTGGCGTACTTGATAATCGCGTCCACAGTAGGATCATTAGTAATGTTAGGTATAAATAATATAGCGTTGATAATTGTATATGGTAGAATGGCAAAGAAATTGAAGATCACTTGCACCAATACCATTACTGTGAGTTGTTTGGCTAATCCACGTCGTATAATAGGTAATACTTGATGAGACGATTGTTGTATATTGCGATAGGCTAATAATCCAAATATGCCTGTTGTGATGACAAAAAGACAGCTTTGAACAAACATTGAATGAAAAGTATTATAATATTGCAGAAAATTATTGCTTGTTATCACACATGTAAGCTTTCCGGTTAAAGATGATTTTATTAAGTCATAATAGATGATGAATGGAATTCCAACGATAGCCCATAACAATCCACATGCTAAGCATAGACGACGAGCCAATTTAACAGTACACCATTGTTGCCATTGAGGGCGAGTAGTCGTAGTAGCCAAAAACTGATCAATAGTTGCTAGACATAAATAGTTTTTAGCAATGAGACCAAATACTTGAATCGAGTATAGCCTGACTTTACAATAGACTATTGAATTTTGTGTCCAATCAATACCGAATCCATTAATCATAATGAAACTGAGTAGACTTATAATTAACTCACTCAGATCAAATATTGACATCAGTGCCAAATAGAATGCACAAGAATTTTGTCGAAATGTTTGAAGACTAAACAATACCGTTGTGCTCAATATTGCGCCAATCACGCCAGCAACAAAAATAGGTATTCCAAAATATCTAACGATTTGCTGCGAAATATAAGCAACAGTTGATATTGTAGGAGTAGACATTCTCAATTTATATTAACACGTTAATCAAGCTATATTTCTTAGGGAAGTTTTTTACAAAATGAAGAAGTCTATAATGAATTACTAATTTTATCTCTCGGTAATTACTAGGGATAATGAATGGCGACATTAGCAGATTTATTCGTCTATCTTAAATAATTAACATCCAATCTAAAAAATACAGGACGACTTTTCTCTTATCTTCAACTAGATATAAGAGAAACTCTCAGATTATACTGACTTAATGAGATAGAGGATTATATTGTTTACAATTTTGTTACATGAAAAATTAATACATTTCCTCTTAAAATAGGCTTTACAAAATTTCCGCCGTTTTATACTTTTCTGAAGTGAGAAGTTACACAACAAAAATGGTGAACGACCTTATGTTTTATCAGTGTTTTCAAAACCGACTTCATCATTTTAGCACTGTCATTTATACAAACATGCATGTAGCCTAGACAGATAGGACTAGATTCGAATATTATACTAAAATATTTGCATAGAAATATTGTGGGATTCCTACAAGGACACATGCACGTAAATGAACTGTTGCATTATTCATATCTCCTAATATTTCTATCGCACATTTCATTCTTGAATGCAAGAATTAAAATAATGGTCATCGAGCAAAATAATTATTTTGGGATGTGTTTCAAGAAGAATGACCAGTAGTACTGCAGACATGAAACACTTATTTGTCAAATGTAGCTATGCATTGTAATTTCTTGGAGTACTAGACATCTATATTATTCGTTGAGTGTCAGATTATAACATTCCAGTGAAACATTTTAGTGATTATAATTCGAATTTTGTTTCGAAATAGTTGTGATGAAAATACTCATATATTTCGATTCAGTTCAGTTTTTTATTGATTCGTTACACTGTTGTACGGTTTTGTAAGCGGTAGGATGAAATAAAACTAAATAGAGCCTTTTCCCATGCGAAAAGACAAAAAAAAATCAATTAAAATTATATTTTTTCGTATTTTTTTTACATAGTAACTATCTGTTCCAATTCTGTGTTATCTGTTAATCAATTTTAATCTATCATTACTTGTGAGTCAGTTTTAATCGTACTCTATATTCGCATGCGAGAACCTAATTTTGCATCATTTTTTTCTGGATGGTTCATACTTAGAAACTATGTGAAGTTGTTACCAAACTAAAGTCTGTTAAATGGAGCCATTTTTTAACTATTGTAAAACCTCTAATAGTGAACGTCTTCTAATTATGAACGGTCTTGAGTCTGATGGAGCAATTGTTACTGTAAATACTTCTTTCTAATATGAACATATTTTTTTACCTGTATTTCTTTTCAATCACTTGTTTCGTATACACTACGAGTAAATACATTTTGTCTACATGCCTAAAGTGAAGAATAGCATCATGACACGAGCTGACTTTGCAGCAAAAAAATAATTGGATAAAAGATATCATATATGACTTAGGTCTGTTTCAAATATTTTAAAATATAAAACAGAGTATTTAAATGATTATGAAACAAATCAGAATCAGAATGTTGGACGAAAAGAAGAATGTGTTAATGCACAAAAACTGGACGATCAAGTATACGAATGGTTCGTATAATACGGTACAATAAACAATTCAATTTTGTATTGTACTTAAAAAAAAACCTTTCAATTTAAATTATTCAGATGAAAATAGATGAACGAAAAGATAAATAATCAGGCCTTTATCTATGTCTAATATAGAAGTGGATTTTCTAGCATGTTTTCTTCATTTCACAGCAAACCAAGTTTCAACTCTCTAAAGTGGACATCTTCGTATGGCGAACACTTTTCAGTGATCCCAATGATGTTCACAATATAGAAGTTTTACTATACTATACAAATTGTTTCACATTGAGATGGTGCAATTACATTAATAATTAATTGAAATCGATTAAACATGATGCTTGTTTTCTATGTGTTTTGGAAAAAAAAATAGTAAATATTGTTCTGAATCATTTATATCGTGTTTATTTTAGAACTTCTCTCCTAATGAATATCTGTAGAACCAGACAAAATTTGATTACTATGGCGATCTTGAATAGAAGAAGTACTAACGCTGATGAAATCACGCTTTATTCGGCTTTCTTACATCATCAATCGTATCGTCTAAATATAAAACACGCGTATATATATACACAACCGGAGGAGAGAAAGAGAATTATAATAGAGAATAGATATATCGATATCGCCACAATTACTGAAAATGCAATTGAAGTTATTCAAGGTTTCAAATCTAATCAATCATCTGTAGAATATACACGATGCTTCGGACAGCAATTTCTTACTATTAGACTCAACTTTTTATTATAATGCATATGTCCTTATTATTTTGTGAGAGATGATGTCAAAGATCCTATTTCGATGATAGGCAAGATGCTTAGCAATATGATAAGGGTTAGGTTACCAGAATACAAGTCATGTTTTCTAAAGCAATGAAAAACAAAAACCTATATTAATTACAATCCTTTCATATATTTCGCAAGGATTTATTTCGATATGAAACAGTAGTACGTCATCATTCACCATTCGATCAAGATGCATTTTCTACAGCGTCTATCTATCAGAAACAGAAGTTAATCGATATTCTACTAAAAAATACGTTTTGTTTTGATAGTTTCTCAGTTTGATAAAATACAATTAGCAAACAGTTTTCATAAGAAGTTCAGCGTCTTATCTAAAACTATTTATGGTTCCTTATGAAACGTTTGTTTTTAGATAGATGTCGAATGAGATCCACCAATTCGATGAATTAATGTGCTCAAATTTTTAATCTAGATCGAACACATAACAAGTACACATGGATGAATTTATATTTCAAATTAATCTCTCGACAAGTCCTATAGTCTTTCATCTTGGCATTACACAGTTAAGCATTGAGTAGGTCGGACGCATCGTAAACAATATCATGACTATTCACTTCCATAAAATGAGCTGATTCCAATGAACTACATGTGAAAAGAAAAAAAAATAGATATAAGCGTCGGTAGTTAACATTTTTGCCAATTTGATTGATGTGGTACTCTAATGAGTAGCACATTAAGTAGCCTTTGATATGTTCTCGAGGGAAGGTCAATTTCAAAGTTGGTCTTCGATTTTTTTTTTCGATAGATACTATCATGGGTATGAATGATTCCATCGTTAGTGCAGTATATCATAGCCAGTGACTATTTTCATATGAGAGATATATGCATGAGAACTAACAGGTGCCCATCATTATTCTCTATAAAAAAGAATGGGATGTTTTATTTTTCGTTAAAGTAAAAATGAGTCTCTTTCTGTTTATCGTAGCTCTTCTTACCAGTACTACTTGTGCAACCATATATAGGCCGGTAGTATTGATGCATGGTGTTACGGCGACCGCTGCCGACATGAATGAGCTCGGTAGTTGGCTTACCGCATCATTTCCAGGTATCTATGTTGTTTCAATCGAGATTGGCAATGGATTCGACGATTCTTTTTTACTACCAATGAATAAGCAAGTAGAACTCTTTTGTGCCACTGTTCTTGCCGATGAACATCTGCATCAAGGCTTCAACATGCTTGGCGTTTCACAAGGTAGTTTGATTGTTAGAGGAGCTGTAGAACGATGTTCACTGTCTGTCTACAATTTGATTACTCTGGTTGGTGCTCATCAAGGTGTTTTTGGCGATCCTGCTCTCAAGTTACTTCCTCGTCAATTTTGGGAATTAATTTCAAAATATGCATATGAAGAGTCTGTCCAGAATGTGATTAGTATTGCGGGCTTCTGGCGTGATCCTTTTCAACTGGAGAAATACACAAGTCGAAGTCATTTTCTTCCTGACATTAATAATGAACGTCAAGTTCGCAATGAAACCTATCGTATAAATATGCTCAAGCTCAATGCATTTGTTATGACCTATTCAGACATAGATGAAACTATCACGCCACCACAATCAGGTTGGTTTCTGGGCTATGCACCACAATCGTTGGAAACTGAAACATGGAATCAATCGCGTCAATTCACAGAAGATCTTATCGGAATGCGTACATTGCGTGAACAAGGCAAATTACACATGTTCATTTGTCATACGCGTCATCAGGATGCTCAGCATACTCCTGATAAAGAGTTCTTTTTTCAAAATATTTTGCCATTTTTTAATAATACCCTTTCGTAACTATTCGAATGTAAGATACAAAAAAATTGAAATTTTATCAATAATATTTTGAACGATTTCTGAAAACATCGAAACTGCTGAATATTTCCCAAGGGAGCACCAGCAGATCGCAGGACTCTGGAACTCCACAGGAATCCACAATACTCAAAGACTACAAATTTCCTCCGTAGTTCTAGAGCCCCTGCTTTTATACAAATCTGTTGCTCTTTCCAATCTCTAATTATGAACTAGGAACGATGATGATATCGATAAAAAGTCATGTTGGCTTTCGTACAAACAATAGATAGATTATTTAATAACATAGTGCTGAGAAAAAAGAACTATTTCATTACTATCAACATTTTGCATATTGTGTTAATAATGAATTAAATAATATCAAAAAAAAAAAGAAAATGAAAACATAAATTTACAGACAAATAATTACTCAACAGCGAATGGATCAATCGTTAGAGGGTGTGAGTATTCTGCACTTTTATGATCATATGAAAGTTAAATAAAACCCTCAATCAGTCATATCTGCCTCTTAATTCCCACAGTAATGACACAAGAGCTCTGACTCACAACTATAGGATCATCAGTATTTCGACGAGTTTTCTCCCTGTGAGCATCAATCAGAGAACAGCAACCTTCATAGAACTTCAAATTCTATATAAGCTTTATGCACCGATTAAATATCCATTAGACACGGGCACCGATAATTATGTTTTACTTGAAAGAACATGACGGGATGCACTGCAGTACAGAGTCTTTTTGTTTTACTTTTTAAGTAGAGAAAAGGCATCACAAGATCAATGACTCAAAAAAACGC